TAATTTGGGGGCTTGTATGCCCATGTTTGCCAAGGTGTGGCATGAACACTTGTATTGAATGTTTCCGCTGTTTTAAATGAATATTTTGCATTATGTTTGTTTATGGATGTACTATGTGTGAATGATAGTCCAGACGCCTTGTATAGTATGGATGTGTTGGACTGCGGTTGACTATTCGTACTGTACGGCGGGTTGTTGACGTGTCCGGACAGGTCCGGGGCGTGACACCTCATGATTGCTTTCATGGGATAGTTAGTCCGCACACAAATAGTATGTGATTCAAAATATGGACGTAGTTTAACCGATGCAGTAATCAAAGCTAAAACCAGTTTTTCAAGTAAAGCATACCTGGTTTCGGGTCCATTCAATGACTTACTTACATAGTATACCGGTGTCTGCATTCCGTCATCTTCTTTGGTCAACACGGCGCTGACAGCATGTTCTGAGACGGCCAAATACAGTTGAAGCTCGTCGCCCTCCTTTGGTTTTGTCAACAACGGCGGGGTTGTCATATATTCCTTCAATTGCTGGAGTGCTTGCTCGTGTTGATCTGTCCACTCGAACTTCTTGTTCTTACGAAGTACGTCATAGAAAAGGCGACACCTGTCAGATGACTTGGAGATGAAGCGGTTCAGAGCAGCAACTCGACCTGTCAACCTCTGCACATCTTTGACTGACTTTGGTGATTCTATGTCAATGATAGCTCGGACCTGCTCTGGGCTTGCTTCTATTCCACGTTCACTGACGATATAGCCCAAGAATTCCCCTGAGGACACACCGAAAGCGCATTTCGCCGGATTGAGCTTTAGGTTGTATTCCGTCAACTTCTTAAATGATTCCGTCAGGTTGTCAATGTGGTCCTCAGCTTTCCTTGACTTGACGATCATATCGTCTATGTATACCTCCATGGTTTTTCCAATTTGATCTTTGAACATCATGGTGACGAGCCTTTGAAACGTCGCACCTGCATTTTTTTAGACCAAATGGCATAACAACATAGCAATACGTACCTGTCTCAGTAATAAAGGCCGTCTTTTCTTGATCGTCAGAATGTAGCTGAATCTGGTGGTATCCGCTAAAGGCGTCCATGAACGAGAGCATCTCATGTCCGGCAGTCGCATCGGCCAATACGTCAATGTGTGGCATGGGGAATGAATCCTTTGGACATGCTTTGTTCAAGTCGGTGAAGTCCACGCATACTCGCCACTTTGCCTTTTTTCCTTTTGCTGCCTTCTTTTTTACGACAACGACGTTAGCTAGCCAATCTGGATACCTGACTTCTCTAGCTTTCCCGGTTTGGAGAAGAGCCTCGACCTCTTGGTTTATGATGTCATTCCGCTCCCTTGCAAAACGTCTTCTTCGTTGTCTGACGGGTTTACATGACGGATTGACATTTAACTTGTGCGTGATGATTTTTGGGTCAATTCCCGTCATGTCTTTATGACTCCAAGCGAATACGTCCTTATGTTGTCTAAGAAACTGGACCAACTCCGCTCTGAGGCTTGCTGGCAAATTTGTCCCGATGCGGATGACCCGTTCTGGATGTTCGTTGTCGATGACTACTTCTTCCGTTTTTTCGTCATCTTCCTCCAAAGCTGGGTCACCCTTTAATTGCTATGCTGAAGTTGGAGGATTTGATGTAGGCTTCATGGCCGTCTGATAGCAAGACTTGGCTACCACCTGGTCTCCTCGAATGGACTCTACTCCCCAAGGCGTCGGAAACTTGACGACCTGGTGATACGTCGACGGAATGGCTCCCATTTGATGTAACCACGGCGTCCCCAAAATCATGTTGTAAGCTGGGAGGTCTTGGACTACATCGAACCTAACCTGCACATTAAGACCGTTAGCGTAAACAGGGAGAGAGATATTACCTATGGTTCGGCTTGGCTCTCCATTGAAACCGACGAGGGTAGATCCTGCTTTTGCTATGTCATCCTCTTTGATTCCCATCTGCTCCAGCATCCGCATGGTAGTTATGTTGGCCGTGCTTCCGTTGTCCACAAGGACTCGCTTCACTTCAAAGTTCGCTACTCTAAGGGATATGACCAGAGTGTCATGGTGGGGTTGCATAGGATCTGGCATATCTGACTCGTCAAAAGCAATGGCAGTGTTTCTCCAGTCTTTCAACTTGGCATACCTGCAATGACTTGTCTCGGGAATACTCCCGAGCGTGTCTCTTGGCAGCAGAATACGTTAGTCCACATAAATCCGACCCGCCATTAATAAAATTAATTACCTGACAGGGAGCCGAAGGCGATGGAGGTCGTGTTGCTTTAGTTGACGACTTGTCAGTTCGTCCTAAAAGGGCTTTAGTCCGCTCTGACATGATCTCTGCCAAATACCCATTTTTTAGAAGATACGCGACCTCCTTCCGCAATGCGACGCAATCTTCGGTATTGTGTCCGATGTCATCGTGGAAATCACAATGCTTACTCGGGTCTCGCTTTCCAGCTGGTTTGTCGGTTTTCCTCGGCCATCGGACTTTCTCTCCAAGCCTTTCCAGTGCGTTGATGAGCCCTGCCGTACTGACATTAAAGCAATAATCTGGGATAACTGGTGGTAGATCAGGTTCGTCAAACCAATGTGTCGTTGCCGCAACAGGTCGTTCTTCTTTGGCGTAAGGTTTGCCGGTTCGGTAATCATGCCGTCTGGACGTATTGGACTTGCGGTGCCCCCCTTCATAACCGTCAAAGTGTGGTTGTGCCCGCAAATCTTCTTCCAACCTGATAAAGGCTAAGGTTATAGCCTGGACATCTTCAAATGTCCGACAAGGAAACTTTGTTAACTCCCGGTACAACTCAGAATCGTTCTTCAATCCCCTTCGGAATGCTTCGATTGCCGTAGGCATGTCGCACCTTGAGATCGACACCTTCTCCCTGTTGAAACGATGAAGGTAGTCTCTCAAAGATTCATCTCTCTGTTGGACAATCCTGTACAGGTCGCTTGTTTGTTTCTCCAGGGTGCGGCTGCTTGCAAATTGTTGAGTGAATGAGTCGACCAACTCTGCGAACGAGTCGATCCCTTCGTTTGGCAAGTTGACGAACCATGTCAAGGCTGGTCCTGAGAGCGTCGTTCCAAACCCTCTGCACATGCACGCTTCTCTTTGGTCTGGATTGAGTGCTACGGCTAACATACGTTGCTTGAACTGAGCCACGTGCTCCAATGGGTCGGATGTTCCGTCAAACATCTTCATGGCAGGGGCGACGAACTTCCTGGGTATCTCGACATTGGTAATGCGCCTGCTGAATGGGGACTCTGCAAAACATGTCCTTGACGCTCTATCCAAAGGTGGGGGTACTCCTGGTAGCCTGTTGATTTTGTCCTGCATTTGACGCATTTGCTCCATCAACATAGACATCTGATCTGCCACAGCTGGATGATTTGGTACTGGAAATGAAAACGTCGGTCCTGACATCTGGGTGACTTCAGGACGGGTTGGAGATGGGACGAAGATCACCTCGGGACGTCGCTCAAGAAGCGTCGACGTTGCTGACCCGTCGGGTCTGTCAGAGCGCCGCTGTCGGGGCTCTAAGAATGATACACTAGGCCCACTTCGCCTGGCGTCCTGCATGAAACTTGACGGACCAGCTTCTCCATAAATTCTGCTACTGTAGTGAGGAGTAAACGGTTCCGTTGGGGTAAAAGTCACACCAGTTGACGGATTGGAACGGGGTGGACCGGTGTCCCCACTGGTTCTGCTCCTGTAATGGGGAATCGACGGGTCTGTCGGGGCGGAGGACAGAGTTGTCATCGGCATGCTTTGGGTTGTTGAATGTAGGCCCGATCCATTCGGTCTGACTCGAATAGATTCCGGAAAATAACAAGCCGGAATGGTGGCTGGTGGTGTAGTTGCTGGTATGAGAGGCGTGTAAGGAATAACCTGCGAGATGACCGTTGAGTATGGCTCCCCGGTTGGTGTTGGTGACAGACCCAGCGTAAGAGAGACTGGATCCGTCGATGTTGCAGGTGGATCCGTCGCTGCGGGGGAGAAACCGAGATCTAGCCTTGTTGCAGCAGTCATTGTGTCACTCCTCCGATTGAGTCTTGATTTTGAGGCTATTGACACAGCAGATTGTACCTGGGACCGAAGTACATCGTTCTCCCGTTGAAGATGGGCCATTTTCTCCGCCACCTCACGCCGGAATTCCTCTCGGATCGTCTCTAGCTGCTCATGGAATTCAATCAACAATTGATTTGTTCCTGCCATATCTAAACTCTTTCTTGCACGATGCCCCACGGTGGGCGCCAAATTGTTTAAGCAAAATATTGATAAGCTAAAACTAATTAAAAAGGAATTCGTATAAAGAAAGGGCTTCGAACAAGAATAGAGAAGGAGATGACAAGAGAGTGAACAAGAAGGAAAACTTGAGTATTATTCGAATGTTTCCACTGGTTTGATTACAATGAGGCTATTCTATTTATAGGAAAAGCAATTAAAGCTCTAATGATGGTTTTTTCCGTTATTGACGGATTGGCCATCCGTTACGTATTGACGGATTCAAATCTGTCATAAAGGCTGGTCAAACACATTTAATACCCTCCTTAATCACATTAAGGAGCCTAATAATGTACAAAAAACGTTACAATATTTAAAAATGATATTCTTGACGCTTCAATGACTCAACTTGTCTGCTTTGGCGGTTTGACGTAACGGTTCCGACCCGTCGTCGGTTTCGCAACTCGTCATCAATGCTGGCCAGCTCAAAATAAGTAACATCCAGCCTTAATATCGTTGATAACTCCAGCAATAAACACAAATCCGTTACAACAGCCATCATTAAGCCTCTTTAACTTTTGTGATCAACTCTCTTTAATGCAAAATATATTGTCAAATAATTGCACTAACAATGATGAAAAGATATAAATATGCTTAGGCCATCTTTATTCATTAATTATTTGAAGATTAGTTAAATGATGTGTCGAATTATTCAAAAAAATTATAATTGTGAGAGAGATTACTCAGGCAACCAATTGAAAATGACAACTCAGTAATAATATCCCGTACACAAATTGTTTAGTTTCATTATTGATAAAGAGTTTTGATAAAGAGAAATAACCTATTCATCAAAGCTAAAAGTATTCAAACATGGAAAAATACTATCCGTAGTGTCAAGTGTAACTCATTTTTCTACCGCAAACCGTACAATTTTAATCGCATCTTTCAAATTTTCAATACACAATTTTTTTTGGCTTTCAAACTATAGACTTGATCGTGTTACAGGCTCACGCGCCTTTTACCACACTGTCACACCCGCATCTATCTATGTACACAACGCTTTCTCCGTCCAATTAGCTTCTAATACCAATAATCGACGTTAAAGTTAACGGCGTAATCATATTTTTGCATCCCGTCTAGAAGGTTCCATCCGTCTTTCTCGTTAGCACCAAAACAGGTCGGTACGGCAGATCAGAGCGCCGTTTATTTCCTCTGTTTTATGCATTTTGTAACTCCGACCGGCTTTCCGGCGTGTGGGGGACTCTCGGTTACAACCTGTTTATCTCCTTTGTTTTTATAATCCCCTTTCTTGAAGGAAAGAGCCAGAAAGACGAATTTCTCCTTGCCGTCGCTGTGGCTCCGGTGGAGGAGGTCTCGAATTCTCCAGCGCTTTGATGCGCCGGTAGAGTTGCTTTTCGCGCACCTGTCTAGTAATGCTTCCTCCTTCGGCCGCCAAACGCAGTAGGTTCCCGCCGGAATTCCGTCGAGCTCATCGTCTTCCGATGATAGATTATCACGTTCATTTTCTAGCAGCTTTCGTAACGGCAGGCGAACCGGCGACGATTTAGAGGTTCCATTGCTCAATTTCATATCGCCTGAGAGCAGATTCTGGTTGAAAATTGGATACACCGGCCGGATCTGTCCGTTGTAGAATATTTGATCGGCCGAGATGAGAGAGAACCCCGCATCCCCCGCTCCCGGGACAAAAGCGAATTCGAAATCTCCTTCATCTGGCTCATCTCTGTCCTCCTCGTGATCCTCCGGATCTAAACGATGATCTTCCAGATCGCAGAAAAAGTCGTCCAGAAATTCGGAATCAGTCTCTTTATCAGCTCGGAATTCTTGGACGACTCTTGCGGCGATATCTGCTAAGCTGCTATTGGAATAACAGTTAAAGCTGGGGGACGATGACGCATCCGGCGATAATTCCGGATAGGTCCGCATTTCTCCGGCAAAACTATTGGTACCTAAAGTTTCCTCCTCCAACATGAGCCTGTGCATTTTTTTGAACAGATTATGAGAGAATGAAAGATACAGGGAAAGGGAAAGTGAGTTTAGGTGGGGAGAAGGAAAAGTATGGGATTAGTTTCAGCATAAATAAATACGATACTTATTTGTAAGTTGAAACGTAAGAGATGGAGGAAAAGAAAGGATAACTGTTGGACTTTTTGATAAGGTTTAGATGGCGCGTCAGTTGTCACCCTGTTCCATTGATGGCGCGTCAGTCGGGTTGAGTGTGTAATAGAGACCAGACCCATTTTGTTCCATTCTTGACAATTACCTTAGTCGACAATATTGTGGTTATGTATGAGTGAGGTCATCTCACATCTAGATTATTTTTGAAAAATACACGCCCATCAATTTGTTTTTATATAGGCAACTTCATCGACATTTTATGAAAAAACAGATTTTCATTCTCTGTGTACGTATGATTTTCTGTATACAAACAATTTAAATTGTTTGTAACACATAAAAGAACTCGTCTAAATTGGTTTTTATTCATGGCCATTTACATCCCCAAAAAATTGTTTCATCCATTGGGAGCCATGTTCTAGAACACGTCCCAAAGGAAGGAGCTAGAACACGTCAGTATGGACTCCCGTTTGGACGGTCTTGTTATGAAATGTAGATTATATCTACAAAATTTCAGTTTAAATTTCAATCGAGTAATCAATTAAATAAATTATTAAATATATTGTGTCAAATATATAATTCGTATATGAAAATGTAGTGTTTTTGTAGACATAATCTACATTTGATGATAAAAAAAGGCTAAAAAAGTTTTACCGGAAACCACCTCAAACGGAGGTGATTGGACAGAAAGTTCAGTCCATCCGCCTGGACAAAATCATTACACATATTCGAGTAAAAGGTAAAATAAATTTAATACCAAGTATATAATGGTTTCTAGGCCATTTGCATCCTCTCAAAAATTTGTTTCATCCATCGGGAGCCTAGCTCCTTCTTTATGATCTTTAAATTTTTGAAGGGTTTAAATTCAAATCACCAAAGAAAGTGAAATGTTTTGTCTAGTCAAATTTAAACCTATATTGCCATGGCGGTATATGGCCACTTATATCATATAGGTAGCATCTTTTTATTCGCCTTAAGTGGTCGATCATAACTTCATAAAACTAATTTTAAGATCTTTCAAGGAAAGAATTGTGATTTTCTTTTTTTACTCCAGAGGGCGCCTGGGGCCTTGAGTAATCAAGACTGAAACTCACTCCATTGAGTTTCCCGAGATCTCTCATAAAGGAGAGTTAGTCGGCGACCAACTGCGCTGGACCGCTTCCTCGAAAAGAATTGTGATTTGTTTGAGCAATATTTCAGAGTTCTAGCACAATATGCCTGCCTCAATCCACTTGAACGACCACTTGAAAAGTAAATTGACCTCTTTAATGACTTAAAAACTTACTATTCGCGGGTCCATTGATAGTGTTATGTTTGTGACTTTGTGTGGTTGCTTTGTTAAGTTTTCGAATATAATCACTAATTTGATTATATGATGCACATAAAAGTGTACACATAATCGGCATGGAGGACCTCATGAATAACATCGACTGATCAACTCACACAATGATATTCTAAGGACAATAACGAGTGGAAACTTAATTATGAGTTTGGTGAAACTGACCCACGAGTCCTTTTTCACCCCGTAAATGACACCAAATCTCATCATCAACACCTTCCTAATTGTTAAATTGTTCCTTTTTGAAATGCGTTAAGCGGACGATAACTAGCTTAAATGATGACATACAGTGATCCAGGCAGTATACAGCTAAAATACTACGAGAAATGTAGTCAACACTCAACAGTTTGCTACCATTAAGTCTTTTTAATTTTTTTGTTGCAACGGTCAACATTTCATACTTCTCAACACACGTCTTTGACCGTAATTATATCTTAATCTCTATTAGTAACAAAATTTTTAAAATGAGATTTTGAAAATTTGTAAGAGATATTACCCAAAATGGGACTTAAAAAGTTTGAAAATTCCAAAATAGGACTTCCATGTTTTTATTCCCAAAATAGGACTAATTACTGTCATGTTTTGGCAGTACCAGACTTCAAACATGGCAGTATTTTCCAACTTTGGCAGTAATTAGTCCTATTTTGGGAATAAAAACATGACAGTCCTATTTTGGAATTTTCAAACTTTTTTAGTCCCATTTCGGGAACTTTCCCAATTTGTAATGAGATGAATTGAACAATATTATTTTTAAAAAATAATTTTCATAAAATAATTGCGTAGAATGTAGTCAAAGTAGAACATGTCAATAGTGTAAAATTCAACATGTTGTGATTAAAAAAAACGGAGGATAGTATTAAACAAAAGGATGACATCCTATTCCTGAGACCCCCTGAACTGATTGGACAACTATCTCAGAGGATGTATGCTGAGCTTTGATCACTCTGATAGAAGGAGAGTGAGGTTCAATCTCAAGTCATTACACGCTTGGAGTTGGACTCGGTATCTCTCTCTTGTCACTCTCTTTCTACCTACCAGGCACGGGCGTATCCAGGATGGGGGCCGGGAGCAGCTGCCCTACACATATATTCAATAAATAATTATGTGTGTGTAAATATATGTATTTTATACGTTGAACACGAGTAGAGAAATGAATTGTCCCCATAGCATAGCAACAAGAAAGGTTCGGGTCTTCACTTAGGATTTATAAAGTTAATGGGTTCGAAACTTAAGTTTTCTGAATTGTTTTGAAGCCTCAAATCATTTAAAGTGACATTACATGTTTTTATTTAGTTTTTGTCCTCTTGAAAAGATTTGTATTCATAAAGTTTCACAATCACTCTTGTACATAATATAAACATTTTTTAATGTCCTTGTGAATTCGAAATTTAAATGAGAATTTGCCTCTAATAGGAGTTAAACATGGTGAAAATTCCTAAATAAGAGTTTAAGTTTTTTATTCCCTAAATAAGACCACCTATTAATCATATACCCTTTATACCCTTCTACTAGCGATTTAGTTTCTCACTCGATCGATTAAACCTATCCCCAAAATTGACGCTTCGCTCCTCTGTCGATGGAACTGTACAGAGGCTTCACCATGTTCAATTTTCGCAGCCCAGTTTGACCTCCAGCACCGCTTCGTTCGCCAATCTTGTTCGCCTCTACTGCCGTCGTCTCTCTTCTCCGGATTTGCCTCCACGGTCGAAGGAGCATGTAATTCTCCCTCCTCCTCTTCCTTCTTCTTCTTCTTCTTCTTCTCCTCCTCCTCCTCCTCCTCCTCCTCCTCCTCCTCCTCATCCTCCTCCTACCTCCTCCTCCTCCTCCTCCTCCTCCTCCTCCTCCTCCTCCTCCTCCTCCTCCTCCTCCTCCTCCTCCTCCTCCTCCTCCTCCTCCTCCTACCTCCTCCTCCTCCTCCTCCTCCTCCTCCTCCTCCTCCTCCTCCTCCTCCTCCTCTCTCCTCCTCCTCCTCCTCCTCCTCCTCCTCCTCCTCCTCCTCCTCCTCCTCCTCCTCCTCCTCCTCCTCCTCCTCCTCCTCCTCCTCCTCCTCCTTCTTCTTCTTTTGCACTCCTCTTCATTCTCGTCCCTGTTCTGTTTTCATCTTCTGATTTTTTATTTCAAACAATGATTTTATTTCATTTTTTAAGATACTAAATTCAACAATTATATTTCAGATCTAAAAATTGAGATACGAAAATTCAGGGCTTCGGTGGAGATATGAAATGTTCGATTCCATGTTTTTCCAAATGATTTTGGTAATTTATTTTAATACATAAAATTGCTATCTATATTTATTTTATTTTAAATATGAAAATGCCATAACACCATTTTTATTCGAACAATGCCAAGTTATACCAATTTTATGCCATTACAAATTGTCATTTTTATTCCAACAGTGCCAAGTTATACCAATTTTATGCCATTACAAATTGTCATTTATACAAAATGCCAAAAGGCAGTTTTATTTGATGCCATGTTATTTTTTGGAAAATAATGGCAAAGAATGTTATTTTTATGGCACTAATTACGTCAAAATGACAATGTTATCTCTAATGTCATTTTTTTCTATCTTCTAATGTCATGTTGTTTGTTTTAAAGTGTTATGATTTTTCTCACAAAGTGCCATATTTTCAGATGTCAAAATATGTCACTCCTTTGTAAAGATGGCAATGATGCCGGTCAGCATCGGCCGACAGCGGCAGACTGCTTCGATTCCAGAGATCCACTTGCTAGAAGAGGCGGCGGCAGCAATAGATGCATCCGGTGGCAGCAGAGACAAGGAGGCGGTGGGTGGTGGTAGATGTGGGGTCAACAATGTCAGATGTGGCGGCAGCTACGGCGGTTATGTCAGATGCGGCGGTGGCGGCCTTGTCAGATGCGGCGGCAGAAGGTGGCGGTGACAATGAAGGTGGCAGGTGGTGCCGCCGGTGCTGGAGCCACTGAAAGTAGCCGGCTTACTAGAGAGGTTGTTTTGAAAAGGCTGGTGTGTCCAGTGTGGTCATGTGGTGGAAGACAAAATAGCGTGAACATAGTTTCTCTAATACTACGTACTCCGTATGACCGAATGGGTTGCATGTGTTCATCTTTATATTCATTAAGGTTATTTTGGTCTAATTAGTTCTTTTTTACTCCTACGGAAGAAGAACAAACATACTACTCCTATATGTGCACAATTGCATTGTTTTACTCCTATTAGAGTAATTAACCCAATTTAAATTAATTTGAAGTACATAGTTAATCCTTCAACTCGTTTATTTCGTTCGTTTATTTATTAATAGGGAAAAATAATTAAAATATCTCAAACTTTGAAGGGGTGTTAGGTAAACACCCCAAATTGTCATATGTAATTTAAATATCCCAAACTTATATAAAAAATTATTCTAACACCATGTTTATGTATCCTTTCTTTCAAAAATGTAAATTTATGATGTTAATTGTATAATTTAAAATAGCAAATTGAAAATGTTGTAATTATAAAGAGTGGGGGTGATACTAGTTATTTCACAATGAAAGTTAAGAATGTTAATTGTATCTTCATGAATGCTAAAATATTTTAAATTGTGAAATTAACACAAAAAGTTAACATTTTGGAAAAAATAATACATGACCATGATGCTAAAATAAATTTTATATAAAGTTTGGGGCATT